CCGACTCTGATGAGGATTCTGGAGTGGAAGATTCCGACAGTGAACTAGCCGCTCCAAATCTGCCGGCTGAGCCAGCACCTGCCAAGGAAGCACCCAAATCATCCTTCTTAGAGTCCTCAGATGATGAAAGCAACGACGGCATTGATTGGGAGGAGGAGAATTCAGATGACAATGATAAACCAAAGGCAGCAGTTGATCCAATACCGTCACTACCGAACGAAGTACCAGTTGATGCGACCATAGATTCACAGAAGAAATTGGCGCTCGACGCAGACTCAGATGAAGCTTCTGGAGTATTAGATTCGGACAGGGATCAAGCAGCTCCAAATCTGCCCACTGAGCCAAAGGCAATACCAAAATCATCGTTTCAAGACTCGGATGCTGAAAGCAATGATGGCATTGATTGGGAGGATGATTCAGATGATAACAATGAGAGCAAACCAGAGCGAGCACAGATTGCAGTCACAACTCCGTCGCCACCATCAGAGGAAGAAGAGTGGGAGGATGAGTACGTGTTGGAAGAAGAGGATGAAGAGGAGGCAACTCCTGCTTCAGCAACCTCCGCCTTGGGTTCGAATTCTAGCGGATCCGATGCTTCCAGCATTGGGCCCAAACCTCAGGTGGACCGCGCAGCAGCAGCAGCACAGGATGGATCAGATAGTTGGGAAGAGGTGATATCCGTGGACGTGGAAGACATGATAGCGGAGGGTCGTTCGTCTCCTATGGATGATGATGATGATGATGATGATACCAGCATCGAAGAAGACATCGAAGAAGATTCAGACTATGCTGAGATGGAACATGAGGTTTATGTCGAAGTTCGCAAGAGCATTCACCCCGACTATAGCTTCGAATCCGATGTCTCCGATATGAGTTTCAATGGCGAGGCTGTGGGAAGAAGAACGAGAACCCCACCTCCCACCGACGATATTGAGGTAGAGATCGACGGTGCCGGGACCACGAGCTCGGGAGACGGCCACCAGGTGGAAGATCACCCCAACTCACATTCCCCCGACGATTCAGACGATTCAGACGATTCTGAGATTTCTGACTCAGATGCATCAGACCCACCACCGCCGCCGCCGCCTCCTCCCCCCCCTGCCAATGAAGACGCCAAGCCAGACATACTGGAAGAAGAAATTGTGGAGATCGTGGAGGAGTATGTTGTCATTGAAGAACCAATCGAGACAGAAATCATCGAAGAGTACATCATTGTGGAAGAAGGGCAGCCAACCAACCAGGCACACAAAACTGAAAACAATGAACCTCCAGTGAAAAGCCAACAAGCCAACAACAATGAACTACCTGTGGAAAACTTTGAAGAATTCTTCAAGGAACTACCAGATGATTTGGAGGCAGCCGTGACTGCTCTAATCGCAGTAGTCTATGGAAACAACAATGCACGCAAACCACACGAATACCCAGTGGATGTCGAATCCATGATCAGAAGAACTCCGCTCAAAGATCTCTACAGGCACCTGAAACAAGAATACTGGCTAATGATTCACAATGAGAACACGCACCGGAACACTGCCGCTGACAGCAAGGGCGACAAAGACCACGACGACGACAATGAGCAGCCAGAACCTGGATCAAAAGCAAAAGTTGCATCAGCGGACGACCTCGTCAAAGAGAAAATGGGAAACCTCATTGCTGGCTACCAAGAGCAGCAGCCTGCTGAGGACGAAGTCCGTGGGCAAGAAGCAGATGAGAACAAATTGGAGCTGCTCATTGCCAAGGTGCAGCTGCATCGACACAATGTTGGCCATGTAGACGATACTCCTGAAAAGGCAACAGATGCGGATCATGCTGAAGATAGTGAAGATCCCGACGAGAAGGGCGTAAATTTGTACACCTTCCTGAAAACTAAGAAGAAAGGTCACCACGTGGCAAAGCGCTACGCAGGAGCTGTGCTGGAAAGCTCCCAGTCGTCATTCCAAACCTCACAATCCTCAGTTGCAACATCGTCTAGGACTCCAAAGAAACAAGAGGATTTGTTCGCGAAGAAGCAATCATTCCTCTTTTCAGATTCGGAGGAATCCAATTCCGATGATGAATCACAGAATCTACTAGAACAAACAGCTCCCTCCCCACCAGCACCGCCCGAGAGCAACCAAGAAGATTTACAAACAGAACAACGCAAACCAGAAAGTGGCGGAATGACTGAACCCAATAAACATGACTCTGCCTCTGAAAGCACAATTGATAAGCCCCAAAATCCCCAAGCAGATAACACACCAGCAACAACGAAGACATCGACAATGGATAGTGATGCTGCCAATGCAAGCAAATTGGAAGCAGAGCCAGTGAAAGAGAAGAAGTCAGTGTTGGACAGCGATTCGGACGAAGAAAGTGAGTCCGAGGAGAGCCAGGCAGAAGAGGCAGCCTCCAAACCGCCTCCACCTTCACCAGCAGCAACCCAGCCAGCACAAGAAGATTCGGCTCCAGCGCCACTGAAAGAGAAGAAGTCAGTGTTGGACAGCGATTCGGACGGGAAAGGAGTCCGAGAGAGCCAGGCAGAAGAGGCAGCTCCAAACCGCCTCCACCTCACCAGCAGCAACCCAGCAGCACAAGAAGATTCGGCTCCAGCGCCAGTGAAAGAGAAGAAGAAGTCAGTGTTGGACAGGATTCGGACGAGGAAGTGAGTCCGAGGAGAGCCAGGCAGAAGAGGCAGCCTCCAAACCGCTCCACCTTCACCAGCAGCAACCCAGCCAGCACAAGAGATTCGCTCCAGCGCCATGAAAGAGAAGAAGTCAGTGTTGGACAGCGATTCGGACGGAAGTGAGTCGGAGGAGAGCCAGGCAGAAGAGCAGCCTCCAAACCGCCTCCACTTCACCAGCAGCAACCCAGACAGCACAAGAAGATTCGGCTCCAGCGCCAGTGAAAGAGAAGAAGAAGTCAGTGTTGGACAGCGATTCAGACTACGAAAGTGGCTCTGATAGTGAGGTGTTGCCACAGAAGCCAAATCAAAAGCCCACACACCAAAATACTTTCGCACCATCACAGCCTCCACAGGAGAAACAGTCACTGTGTAAGGATAGTGCATCTAAACAGGCTGGGCCGGGAACAACAACTCGTGGTGGCTCACCTGTCAGAAGTGCTGGTATGGCACGGGGGTTGTCACCTGTCAGAACCACTGGTACAGCAGCACCTGTGTTGAGATCCAGTTCTCCAAAACCCAATCTACCATCACCAAAGACATCCAGCAAACCTTCTTGGGCATCCGGTAAACCCAAGCTCAAAGCTACAGCCCGTGGAGAAGCTGTCAAGAAGAGTATGGATATTGGGTCGCAGACCCGTCCTGAGGGGTATAAGCCTTTTGTTCCAAAACCATTTGAAGACATGAAGCCTGAAGAATTGAAAGAATGGAAGCAAAAACGATCAGAACAAGAGCAGCTCGCCAAGCAAAGCAAGCTTGTGCCCTCTGTTGTGGAGGAAAGTGGCAAAGAAACCACAAGTAGCAAAGCTGTTGTTTCCTCTCCAGAAAGCAAGGTGGAGTTGAAAGCTGCTCCAATAAATGTTGGCAGTGTTGCTATGTCAGAAACCAAGGTGCCTGCATTGAGATCCAGTTCTCCAAAACCCAAGCTGCCATCACCAAGAACAGCATCCAGCACACCTTCTTGGGCAACGGGCAAACCCAAACTCAAAGCAACAGCCCGCGGAGAAGCTGTCAAGAAGAGTATGGATATTGGGTCACAGACCCGTCCTGAGGGGTATAAGCCTTTTGTTCCAAAACCATTTGAAGACATGAAGCCCAAAGAATTGGAAGAATGGAAGCAAAATCGATCAGAACAACAAGAACAGCTTGCCATGCAAAACCAAAGCAACAAGGTTGTTTCTTCTTCCTCTCCGGAAACAAAGGTGGTGTCGAAAGCGGGAAACGTTGGCAGTGTTGCCACATCTGTTACCGAGGCAACTGTTTCATCAAGAGAATCAGAGACGCTTGCCTCTTCCACGAGAGCCGCATCCAATCTCGGACGACCGAAGCGACTTGATCGCAATAGGGGAGGTGGCGAAGCGAAGGAAGCAGACAGGGACGACAGGAACACTCCGAGATTGGCTACTCGAGACGAAACTCTGAACTTGGAGTTTCCGTCGAGTTTGTCCGCCGCCAACATGGCGCAACTCACTCAAATGGCAGTGGATTTGAGAGGTCGTTTCTTGGACAGCATCAAGACGGTATCTGTGGTTGTGCCTCCGGACATGGCCATTGATACCCCGGCCCAGCAGTCCAACGTCTCGGACGTCTTTGCCGCTATTGGCGAACTCACAAGGCTCCAGGATCTTACAATCGAGTCGAATCGTTCTTTGAGCAACTCGACATGCAGGAACAGCATTGCCACGAGTGTCGTGACGGCAACACTGCAGTCGATTGCGACTCAGTTTCAACGGGAGAAGGATCGATACGGTCTCGTGTCGGTACGTATCCAAAATGTTTGTTTGATGGACGACCAAGCGGATCTAGTTGACTTTTTTGATGCTCTGGGGACCATTAACGAAATCCCGACTCTGAAGCAAGCACAAGTCGATGTCGAATTCACGAGCTTCCGCCGTGTGAAGTATTAGCCACTCATCATGGCAGGCAAATGAATTCGCGTGCTACCGGTAGCTACTAGGGGGTCGAAGGAAAACTAGCGGGGGGACACCTTGGGGTTCGTTGGGGCCTGTCGGGACGAAAAACCGACACACGAGATGCCGAGGGTTTCTAGCTAGCTAGTGCCCAAACGCTGTTGTGGTCAAATGCAAGCCCTCGATACCCGATACAAGGGACAACGACAGGGGCTGGAACTCATCAGGATGCCTGGTGCTGTGGCTCGCGAACACTATGAGCAGCCAACTCTGCACACTTTTGAGCAGCCAACGATGGCTGCAAGTGTGCCTCAAGCGTTAGAGGTACAATGCTACCAACCTGGATGATCGATCGCCATCTACTTAGCTACCAGACTACGATCTGATTCCCAACCACGGTAGACGGACGATGATTGACAAAAGCTCCTTATTTGCCATGTGTACTACTAGCTAGTCTTTTACGTAAATACTGCATTGTTTGGATGTCCTTCCTATTTGGCCCGCCAGACAAATAATAACGTGCCTCTTGGGTGTAGCTCTTGTTTTCCTCCAAACACAACCATGTATATTGTTACTGTACTTTTTGTTTCTTCGTTCTTGTGACGCCGCATGCTCATGTCGTTTTCGTCTTCTTTTCGCTGCTCTTTGCTCCTCCCTTGTTGACATTGATACCCAATCCATAACGTTGCAAAAAGAATTGCAAGAACAGGAAAAAGTAACTGACGTACATGACCAGAATCCCGGTATTATTTTCCCAGCTGGCCCAGCATCCTTCCTTGCGGACGACAAGGAACGCGGCGGTAGAGACGACACTGCCAACGACCATTTGTGTGATTTGAGCAATGGTGATCCATTTGGGGTTGAACCATTTGGGTTTGCATTTAATGGCCATCAAAAAGTAATAAAAGTACATGACGGCGTGGACCCCGAAATTGATGGTGGAGTAGACGAGTCCGGGAGGACAGTGGGTAATGAACGTGTACCAAGTACAGAGGAGGACCGTGACATGGTGGTACCAGTGGAGAAGCATGAGTTTCTTTTTGTGGGCCACAATAAAAAAGGTATCTACGAGTTCACTAAAAAAGTAATAGAAGAATAGATAGAAACACAACAGAAAAAGAGCAAATTAAAAAGTTGGTGAGATACCATACAACAACATACTTCATTTTGAGTGTCATTTTTCCTGCCATGTTTTTGGTTCTTACGCTGGTTTACTGAGTACAAAGAATAGACACCACATTCCCGTAGCACTCGGTCCAATGGAATTTTCGGGGTCCATGCAGAGGTAGTTTTCCCATCCATACGTTGACACATTGTGAATCAGAGCGGGCAACAATCGCGCCACTCCAATCCAGGAGAAAATGGACAAGAGCAAATTCCAAGCGGCCAAAGTCCTCTTCATGACGTAGGGTTCTCGATTCTCCATGTATTTGGGGCCCAGGTAGATTGCAATCATGTACACCACACAGCATGCCACGGGAAACCAATTGTTGCGATGCATCCAGTCAAACAAAAACTCGGGGCGCCACGTGAATTCCCAACTGAAGAATCACAATAGCAGTTGATAAAGAAAAGAGGGTATATTAGATAAGATGAGATTACAGATGAGAAAAAGAGCAGTTCCATGGTCGGTCGATCCGTCAGTTAACTCAACTCACTCCATGTAAAAATGCCTCATCCATGGGTAGACACAGTATATCTCTTCATAGTCCTTCCCTCTCCTTGTCAATAAACAAGCATCATTTGCCACAGCTGGCCACCAAGGATCTACTTTGCCAGTCATCTTGTTTGTGCTTCCTCTTTCTCTTTCTGTTTGCTACCTCAAGGGTGTGAGGATTGTGCTTGCTGGGCCAATGCTGGCTGGAAATGAAACAGACGAAAGGATGACGGCGCCACAAAGCCACACGAGAATCACATCATGCAGCAGTCCGTCCAGGCACTGCACCCGCCATTAGAAATTTTTAGCTTTGTCCATCTTGCACTGACTCAGTCCAATGACGATGCAATCAACCTGTCTGGCTTGCGAGAGTCAATTGCGTACCAAACCTACAGGTCCACTCACCATTTTGGCGCAATAATACTCAAAAGCCAACCTTCGTGGGAACGCACCTCTTCGGTCGCGGCCAAAAGTGATCGAGCAACGGATCTGTGTTGAAAGCGGTCTAATCAATCTAATCAACAGTTTGGCCGATTGACAGGTTCGGGAGCAGTGGCGTTGACAACTTGAAGGGAGGAAGGAGGATTGCCTGTCATTGGTTGAAGGGGTGAAGGAAGCTTACTTGTCAACTGCCGATGCCACCGATATCGAGCGATTACTAGTGTGCGGTTTGAAGGTACTACCACACAGCTACTACCGGTACTCTAGCTAGCTATCTAGCCGCGCTGGCTTCCTGTTTCCATGATGAGGGCCGAACTTGCTTTAGTTAGTAGCCAAGGGTGAGCCGGGTAAAGGCTGTGAGGATGACCTGAAAGCTATTCCTCACATCCTTGCTTCGGGGGAGGCGCAACATCTGCTCTCCAATAGAGTCGAATCTTCTCTCGAATCCTCTTTTATAGCTAGCTAGATCTAATGGTTCCTGTTTCCCATTGCTTGTTTCTCTGCGCGTGGTAGGCTACCGAGTCGAGTCGTCACCACCGTACTATCAGGTACCGTGTGTCCATACAGTTGCAGGTCACAGCTGTACTAGTACCTCTGCTCCTTGGAACTGACTTGCAATGCCACTTAGAGGTTCCGCTTTAGTACAAGAACAGTGGCGATTGTTGGTAGGATCCTTGTCGTTTCGCCCGTTGCTACCGGTACTTTCCATAGCTTCAGGGTGCATTACTTTGTATTCATGTAGCAAGCTAGAGCGATTGAGTCGAGTCGAGTCTATTCTTTTCGTCAAAGGTCCGACTCGAGGCCACACAAGCAAGAGAGGAACACTGCTAGTGAAGCCAACAGAAAACCAATAACCCCATACAGTGAAGAATACTCTCGTTGGAAAGCCTCCACCTCTTCTTGGTTTACTTCTTGCGATTGAGCGACAGCCTCCGCATCAATGAGCTGCTGAAACATCTCCTGGAGACCAGTCTCCATGGGGATATAGTCAATACCAAGCTTCTCCTTCGACTTGGTGTTATCCAAATGCGGTTTGATGCCCCAGTTCTTGGAGACAAACTGACGATCAATCCCCAGGCCAAGGTGAGGAGCAAGCAGCCAAAGCAAAGTAGGACACCAAGTAAGGGACGGGTTTCGTGACAATGGAATACTTGGAACCATACTTTTTGACAATGGCCTGTCCAATCTCTGGCAAAAAGAAACCTGGACCACTGAGAATGTGGCGTATATGGTGGCGCCCAGCAGCATCTTCCAGATAGGCAGCTGCAATGTGAGCTGCAGCAACATCACGAACATCTACGCAGCTCATGCCAATATTGGGTGCTCCCATGGCCATGTTGGGGTCGTTCGATCCAAAGGACTTGACTAGGTGAAAGGATTCAGAAGACTCGTGGTACTTGATACCAGGGCCTACAATCAGATTTGGATTGATAGTGCAAAGCCTCCACTGAGTTTGGCTTCCAGCAATGGTCCAGGCCTTTTGTTCTGCCAGTGTCTTGCTCAGACTGTAGGGATTATGAGTCAACGAAGCAGTGCGGTTCCGGCTGTCTTCCGTCACCGGATTCTTCTCATCGTTGATCTCTGCTGCATCGGTGTAGACGGCAACACAGGATGATGTTAATACCACACGCTCCACCGAAGGAGTTTTGTTGCACTGAAGCAACACATTCTCGGTTCCTTTCACGGCAGGCTCTGCCAGATCCTTGACAGGGTCTTTTACAGCCATTGCGAATGGAGATGCAATGTGAAACACAGCATAGCATCCCTTCATGGCCTCTTCAAAAGCTCCTAAAGTGAGGAGATCAGCCTTGAAGAATTTGATAGACCCTCTGGACTTGGCAGCCAAGTCTTGAAGGTGCTGAATGCGGTCCTTCTTGGAAGGGTCGCGGACAGTGGTGTGAACAGTCAATCCCTTGTCCATGAGCTGAGAGATGAGCACGCCTGCTACATAGCCAGTTCCTCCTGTCACTAGCACAGGTTTTGCGGTGCCAATGGCAAACTTCTTGAGGCAAGGCATGATGCAAATAATTCGTTGATCTTGTTGAGATGATTTGGGTTCTCTAGTTTGTGTGTTTGCTTTTGCGTTTTCTGTGTTTGTGACGGTTTGCTCTTCTCTTGAACTGTACATTGGTATGCCATATGGTACCGGTACCGTGTCGGCTCTCGCCGGTCTCCACATTTCTGTGAAGACAAGGATGTTTGCAGATAAGCTTTGTTGCTTGTGAACGCTACATGTACGCTGTACCACTTTGTGTCTCCACCCGGTTCAGTTGTAATCTTTTTGGTCTCGTCCGGTTATGGGTATAGTAGCCCTGCCGGCTAAAGGCCACCAACCCAAAGCCACCCGTTTTTATAAGTTGATAAAGTCGTATAAATCACGTAGAAAGCGTGTAAATCGCGTAGTTGAGTTACATTGTAACGAATGATCTTGCAACAAAATCGCGTAACTTTGCTAACTAACAAGAAAGTCGCGACATGGAGGGTAGTCTACCCTTCGAGGCGAGACCAAGTCTTCGTCGGTCGTCTGGCTGGGTGACGAAGGGGTCCACCTGCACCGATGAGAGACCAAGTTCCTTTGTGTTTCAAGTTCCACTTTTAGGTATGGTATGGTAGCTGTCGTGCGTGTTGTGGAGCATTGGGACGCAACGCAGTCCAAACCACTGGATTGGCAGCCCGCAGACGACCATGCATTTTGAATCTGCCCAGCCGGCGACGATTGATTTGTTCCACCCGTGCGCGGTAGGAGACCGGGAGAGCTTCTGCATCCACTACACAAACTTGTTTTCAATCAAAACGGTTTCCAACAGACGGTCTAACTAATGAATGTAGTTACGTATGTGTTCTAGAATGTGTATCATGTTATATCATTTTTCTTGGTTTTAAAACTGTAGTGTACAGCAGCCGCAAGAGTGGTATGCAGAAATGTCTTGTGCATGTGGAGGCTAGGAAAGGGAGGTTGGAAGGTCTGGGTTTGGATGTAAAACATATACATGTACGAAACCGACGAGAGCAACCGACTGCATGAGACCAATCCAATTGATCTTCATCCTGGTCGTTCTTGCTCATCACTCACGCCTCGTCATTCGTTACTTTATCAATCTTCCACATCAATCGGTCGTCGTTCCAGATACTCTTGTTGGGAAATGACTCTCATGGAAGCAATGCGAATGGGATGTTGGAGGTTATCATTGCGGGCCGACAGTGTGGCCGCCAGCTGCAAGCGTTTGGTGACAACGTCATGTCCGGCGACGACCTTGGCAAAACACGGTTCCGGTTCATCGTCTCCTTGTTGTCCCCCGGGTCCATGCACGCGACTATTGTCTTGCGTGTTGATATAAAAGTCGGGTCCACCGGGTCGTCCGGGATATCCCACCGTCCAAGTAGTATGTGGATAATTGGGCGAGTATTCTTGAAACAAGACACTTGCGAGGCTGGGTTGTTTGCGAAAGCGCGAATGTCCTCCCGACGGTCCCGCTTGCAGAACATGCGGAGCATGTCGAAAGAAATGGGTGCCATCGTAGAGTCCGTGATCGACTTGTTCTAGAAAGAGATGGATGGCATGGGGCATATCCGAGAGCGGTGCCGTTTCGAGAAAGAGAGTACTTCCCGTGTGATGGAGGTCGTCGTGGACATTGGACTCGAGTGGAAAAGAGAGTTTCATTTCGACATAGTAAAGCGGGCCCTTGCCGAATCTAGGTAGTAGTAGTGAAGAGGTGGAGAAGATAAGGTTAGCCAACTGCAATGAGAACATCTTAGCTTGCTACTGTGAATGCCATCGATAGAAGTACTTACTTTTCTTGTACCATCCGAATGTCCTGTCGTTGAATTCCTTGTTGAATGATACTGTGGGAATGTTCGAGATGAAAGAGTCGTCGTTGCGCTTCCAATCCTTCTCGTTGATCGGTGGGTCGTTGTTCCAGCTCGACCAAATGATTTTGCAGGACCGTTCGTTCATTGGAAATCTTGGTCATTTGGATTTCCAGTTCCGCCAGATGATTCAAGTGATGATCAATCTCGTGATCTCTCGCCCGCAACGCATGTTCGAGGGCGACATTGGATTCTTGCATGTAGACTCCAAAGGATGCCAGTGCCACAAAGGCGACGACGAAAATGGCTTGGAGAATGTAAAACGAAGTGGGACTACTTTGATGATGATGATGAGCATGATGAGCATGGTGGTAGTAAAAGTCATCTTGTGGAGGTGACTGGTGGTGGTGGTGGTAGTCATTGAGGTAGTGATCTTGATGATGATGATGGTTATACCCATGGTTGTTTTTGTCCATAGTAGAAGAGGAGGAAGAGGAAGCTACCTTTCCATTGCTATTGCTGTTGCTATTAGTATTCATAGAATGGGTAGCATTGGAGGTAGAGCTAGAGGTGTTGGAGTTGGTCAGGGGCAATGTATAGTCGCCCATTCCATCCATGGCCATGTCGGGGTAAGATAACGCGACTCGCTTAATGGGCGACTGTGCGGGTGTGGAAGCACAAGAGGAAGCCGTCGAGAGAGACGCCGCTATTCGTTGTCGCAGAGCCGCTGGAGTCGATTGTGTTCGATGCGTGGGTTGGTGGGGAGATACACGGCCTGAGGATGGAGGACTCGGACTGGGACTGCTGCTCATGCTGCTACTCGGCGAAGAGGCTGCTGTAAAGTCACAACAGGAAGAACTCTCGCCCAACAGCAAACTGCTGCTGCTGGCGTTGCCGTCAAAGAATCGTTTTCTGGCAATCATGGTTGCTGTGTTTTGCTCTTGTCTTGACTTGACTAGTAGAATGGAGCTCCTTGCTTGCTGGGTTGCTAGCTAGTAGGAAATGATGACTGACTTGATGGATGCCCGAAGAAACCAAAATCTTGCTTGCTAGGCTACTAGTAGACTATCTGTTGGGTTGGAACTGGGAAATGATTGTTCTCAACAGCATCAAACCTCTTGCTTTCTTCCAACTTGTTGTCTCTTGTCTGTTTCTTTGGTGGTTTGTTTGTTGCATACAGACCGTTCACGCCTCTTTGTAGTAGTGGCTATGCAAACCTGATGACGAACTGGTGATGAGAATGGTTTCTGGTGGCCGACCACTCCCACAAAGATTTCCAATGCCTGGTTGGGTGGGCCCAACGAATTTGCTTTCTCGACGGTCCTATGCAGGCTTAACTAACATATATGTTCAAAAAGTCATTTTGCAAAAACCATTCGTCAGTATGTCAGTATACAAGATTTGTACCTGCAAAACGTCATGGGTCATTATTACTCCCAAACCATTTCTAATCTTGATGCGGAGAAGCGCGGAAGCTACTACTACATGTAGTAGTACACTCGCAAATTATTGACAAAATTAATTGACGGAACATTCTTTCCTGGTCATTGATACACTACGGTGTAACTTTTGTCATTAGCGCGGAAGTAACACTACTCTTTCTCTCACAGTAGAGTGAGTGCAGCAATAGTTCATTCTTGCAAAATTCACTTCGTAATGACCAGTGGTTCTGGGAATGTGGATTACTTAACACAATTACTCAATTGCTTTTTCAGGTGTTATTTCAAAGAATCCAAAAAGAAACAATGAGATAGGAGACGAGTCCAGCTTCCGGTTCCCACTGGGAGTAACTTCAAGGAAGCTAGTCTGCTTTCAGTTATCATTCGAGTTTAGGTTTCAGTGTCCAGGATGAAACCAAATAGGGGTGCAAATTAAAAATGGGAGATAAAGTTGATGTGCTACCGTACCGTTACGTAAATTAGTCGTATAATTGTTTGGTTTGGGGGACCGCTTCTACGACTGTTGCTAATGGTGCACCTATAAAGTGCTTCGCAAGGTGAGTCCCTAGTCCATTAATTACTGCTATTAACGCTCACAGCTCGCCACAATCTTTTGCCGCCCCATCTTAGAAACGCTTCATTCTTCAGGGACTGCTCTTTGCAATAATCGCATCTTCAAGACTTATCCCACGGTCATTTAGGCTGAATGTCTCGGAGAAAGTAAAATTATATTTACGACGAACAGAACTGGCGACCTGCGTTTGCCAGGTGGTCGTCAGTCAGTCGGCGAGGTTGCCAATTGCCAACGCGCTGTCCACGGAAGCTACCCGCGCCCAATCCCAGTCATTGCTTTGCTTCCTCCAAAAGAGCAACCGAGGCCTACTACATGTAGCTAGCTAGCTAGCTAGTTCCTGGCACAGGCAATACAAACCTAGCAAATCTTCGTGGGCAAGTCATGTCAAGTCAAGTCAAGCCAATTGGCCAACCTAGCTAGCTAGACCACCGTAGACTAATTTGCCTTAGCTAGTGGCTGAGCCTGTGGGAAAGCAAAGCAAACAAGAAAAAGGACAGCCAAAGCAAGTTGCTGTGTGCGTGCTTGGCTGGCGGCAACGCCGGAGCCACAACATGCAGCTAGGCGGATGGTTTGGTTGCCGAAGAAGCAAAAACGTAAATCCACTTGCATCCAGTTGGAGGAAAGGCAAGCATGGACAAGTATTTTAATAATTAAATTACGCAGAAGTACAAAGGTCTCCAAGAATCGATATAATAGCAATGGATAATATGAAGTTGCTTCCTACTGCCTGCCGGAGCGCGCCTCAAAAACCAGGCAGCAGTTTCAAGTACTAGCTACACCAGATGAGGACCTAACCCAGCCATGGCTGCAGGATCAAAACCTCTCGTTGGTCTTGACTGGATGCGACTGCCCCCATGGCTACCAGTGGATGCCTCTTCGAGTACCATGGTCATGCATCATTCCTATTAGTATCGAGTCCTCCTCCCTGTGTTGTTGGCTGGTGCCTGGTGAACATTCATTTGCTGTGGCTGCGCTGGCTGGCTGTGCGAGTGGGGTAACTGTTGTGAATGAGAAGTCATCACACTAAGGACTCACAGTCATGAGTCCAACCCAGTCCTGTCCTGGAAGCAGGGCCAGATCATTGGCTCAGAGAGAGCCCGACCAGCCCAAACAAGACTACAGAATGTCATGAACAGCATAGTTAATCACCAATTATCATAATCTTTATCTTTGCATTCCAACAGGTTATGATTAGCCCAATTTAGCGGGGTAGAGAAGAACATCGCCCACACCACCACCATGATCAACCTCTTTGGCTCCGCTGCCAAAAGCGTTCACACTTGGGCGAGTCGCTCTCGAAGACCCTCATCTTCATCAGCTCCTCCAGCTGAACAAACGCAGCTTCCTCTGCCACCACTACCACCACGTCGAAGGACGGCCTCGCCAATCATTGTCGAAGACGCCTCCACTGACGGATCGTCCCTCAATGACACTAATGACACCACTATTCCACCACTCATCACCAAAGCCGGCTACTCCAGCAGTGATGACTCTGATGATGACACCCAGGGGAATGTGGGGTCCACCACAGACCCTCTCCAACAAGTTACACCACCACGACGCGTCACTCAATCCCCATTTCGCCCAGCGGACCCCACATCGCTTCCGTATTATCAGCCTCCGACACCTATCTCCCACCTGAGCTCTGGTGTCCCATCTGCCATCCGCGCGCAGGTGGACAACGTCATGGCAGCTCTCGACGGACACAGCCACCTTCATAGCAGGACGTCGCACCGGTCAACACCCTTCTTGGCCGAATGGAACAGTCAACCTTCTACCGGCTCTTCTCTTAGCGATTCATTCCAGACGGGAGTTGAAGGATCCTCCACCGGTCCGTCCCTACACTTCTCCAAAGCAACGAGCTCATCTAGAGCCAGAACCCGTACGTCCTTTGGCGATGGCTTTGATTCCATTCCAATGGTCAGCGACCACGTCTTCGAGACCACCTCCGGACCAGTCCTTATCATTCACGAAATCCCTCCCTGCGGCTACAGTAGCCAATTCCTCACCACCATCATTAACAATTGAGAGCTTTATGGGGGGTAAATTGCACTACAAATCCCGTCGATTGCAACAATGATGCCTATCTTCAGCGACTGAAAGGAAAGAATTTGTTGGTCCGACAAGAATCCACCGGCCACATCATACAAGTGTTCCCTCTTCGAATCCTTGGTCACGACAGCCTGGATCAGTATAAGACCTGGCAATTGACATCTCGCTGGCACCCATATCTGCGAGGATATATTGACCGACAGGACCGCAGCATGGCTACCTCTGGGAAATCCTACTACGTGGTAGACGGTTGGTATGATGAACTAGCTTGCCAACGCATCATCCAGTCCTTTGCCGAAGGATGGGCGATGCAGGCTGATGTAACGAACAATGGAGTTAGCGACTCGCCAACAGGATTCAAGGGACTGGGTAGCGCCAAGGAATACCTCGAACGTATCCAAACCGAACGTCCGGTCGATCCAAGAACCCGCATTCCACCTCGATAAGTGGTTGATGTGAGTCTATTAGGTAGGAGGACCCACACTATGCGTGTGCTGAACACTTTGGATACTCTCCAGCCCACAGATCGCACGCCTCGGCTGGCGTTGACGTACCAATGCCTACACCACTCACCAATCACTCGATACCAAGTGCACCCCGAGAACCGGCCACTAATCCAGCAGCCCCTGGTACTCCTGTCAGTAGTGGTTCTCGACACCAGTCATCCGACCACCTGGTAGAGGTCGCCACTACCGACGGACAACGCGTCACCATTCCCGTCTCCTCTATTAACCGAAGCGTCGGAACCTTTACGCAGTCACGTGATAATGCTTCCGTGACCAGCTTGGACAGCCTCTGGATGAGCCACATCGAATCCCAACATCACCTCAAGGATGCGCTCGGTGCCATTGTGTAAGGCAACCGCTTCACGCATGATGACCAACTTCGAGCTGGCACAGAACTGCCAACCCTACCTGCAGCACCTACCTTCACGGCACTCTACCAATGGAAGTGTAGCGTTGAGAACGCTCTGACTGGGGACCACTGGGAAGCCGATGATCATGAAATCTGGGAGTATTCCAGTACAACTGATGGTAACAAAGATATCTCGAAAATGATGGCTCGCCTTCTCGTGAAAGCAACCAAACAGAATCGTACCATCACTGATCTTCTACAACAGGAACATAGTCTCAAACGATGTGGACCAGAACTGCTCCAGGCCATTCTTGACACTTTCCTTCCTGTTACCAGTGACGGCGTCAATGATCGGTTCGCCGACGTGAGTACCATGGTACAAGAACAGCGAGAATTCTGTTCCTCGTTCCTCTTGCGAATGCGGTTCTTCACTCGCCAACTCAGTGCTGCCAGCGGTCATATGTTGCCGGATCCGGTTCTCCGCGGCTGGTTCATTTCTGGCACGGTGAAGCATGGACCATACCGTTCTATTCTTGGACGCTCTTATACTCGACTAATCCGTCCTGGTGGCAAGCTCAATGGTATTCCCACTCTCGACTGCAGTCTAGAGGACATCGCGGAGCACTTTGACAACATCCTGACCGGCGCTGAAAACAACAAGTATTACTGTGACAGCAAGTTGCTTGCCGGCGAGCAACCCATCCGTGCTTATCATTCTCGTGGCAAGGCCCATAAGACCGGCTCACCTCTGACTGACTCTCCAAGTGAGTCAAGGGGGGTAGCATTTCAAACTTCGCTGGATACTTCAGACCCGATGGCTATCGTCCACGCCCTCCAGCCATTTGAAGATGTAGCCGTGACCAAAGAGCGGGCACAAGATGTCATGTACCACTTTGCTTCTCCCTGGTGCGTGATTGCCCGTCATAAGAACACTGGCCGGCACCACATGTCTACCTGCGAACACTGTATCCCTGGCTACAGCATCACCTTTGATGGCACGGCCTACAAGGAAGGGAATGCTGGTAGACGCAAACCACGCAACAACAACGAATCTGGCAGTGCCAGAGTGACCAACCGCGGATCTCGCCGAACGTTCACGGAGTCCGACAGCGATGATGACACTAGCGAGAACAGCGGCTGTGAGTCACCTACGTTTGACCCGTCAACTATTCCTGTAGCACCACCACCCAACTCACCTTCTGTCGTTCCATCTCTTAGGAGGGCAAAGCCCACAGCCAAATTGGCAACCATTCCAGAGGAACCGATACTGGAGGACGAGGCGAATGATACCAATGTGGATGCGCAGAATAGTTACGTGTTAAACAGTAGTAATAGTGACATTATGAAACACACCAAAATCGCCTACAACTGTCAATACACGCGGAAAGGACCAAGATTGACAACGACGGCTGCATATCTGGCAATGAAGCCACTTCCCGCGTGATTTGTCACTGGATCTGCACGGTTGGCTCATACTACACACCAGGAGAAACTTGCATGTGTGGACTCCGGTGCCACTGGAGACATGACGCCACATAAGAAAAATTTCATATCGTATACGCCCTTGGAAGGACATTTTATCCAAGTCGCCAACGGTGACCCTATTCCCATTCTAGGGTACGGTACTGTACAGCTGGAACTGGAGCACAAAGTCATTCGGGAGCAGAACTGGTGGCACGTACCTGACCTCTCCACACGACTACTCTCAGTGAGAAAGCATCGTCGTCGAGGACCTGGCTGTAGCTTTATGGCCGATTATACAGACTGTATCCTTAGCTTTCCCACCTTCTCGATACGGATAGACGACTCCGAAGAGTGCAGCATCACGTGCAGAGATGCCACTCTTAGTCAAACCGTGCACTACGACGACCAAGCCAACTACGAATACAAGAAGCGACTAGCGAAAGCTGGTACCACTCTCAGAGTCCACTGTCACTTTGAGCCGGCTCCCACTCGTCATCCAATGGAACCAATCGACGAGGCAGAGATCGCTAAACCACTTAGTCGAGATATTCCTATTGCCTGCTACAACCCCGAAAGTCACCTAGGGGAACAATCACGACGATTTACTGGTCAAGAACTGCACCTACTATTCGGCAACCGGAAACTACGCAATTACAAAGCTATCACCGAAGTGTGTAGTCACGGCAAGTTCTGTAACGCAAGCGAACCAATACCATCAGTAGGTGACTTTACCAACCTTCGAAGAGGCAAACAACGGAAGAAATCACGGATTCCATCCCCAGGATGTACCTTACATGCTGATCTTTGCTATGGCGATGGCGTCTCTCCAGGGGGGTTCCGCTATGGACTGGCAATTGTTGATGCCGGAACACGACAGAACTGGTTCTATGGACTGCATGATCTTGAAGCTAGTTCCATCATCGACGCTCTTTGGTGTCTGTTTATTGATATGGGCGAAAGGAGCAACGACGTTAGGCACTTCCATTGCGAATTCGATCAAAGGTTTATTGCTGGAAACGTACGCAAATTCCTTCGACGTCGTGGAATCAAAGTGTCTGCTTCCCCTCCGTATCGACACTCCCAGAATGGGTTAGTTGAAAACCACTGGAACACAGCAGTTCGCATGGCAAGAGCCTATCTTCAGGAAGCAAACTTACCTAAAAGCTTTTGGTTTTGGGCGGTTCGAGAAGCCTTCTTTCGTATGAACTTGCTCCCCGTGGATATCAGTCTCAAAGGCCACGCCAATGACATAAGTCTAATCTCACAATATTCGGATCGTAGTTCACTCTGAATTCAGAAGCAAGTTCGGTTGGAATTTGCACATCAAGCAAAAGAAACTTCCTGCGTACATTCTACGCAGCCGTGTACTAGGCATTTGGCCATTGTCAAACAATTTCGAAAATTCGCTGGATTACTATTAACAACGGTAACTCAAGGGTGTAACTCAATACGAAGTTACTCCTTTTTCTTTCATTATCATTACTTGCGACTCTTACTAACACAAAGCCGCAAGTACTGTTGTTTGTTATTTCCTTTTAGGTTCATTATCTCACCATGACGACGCTTGGTCAGTCGGGCAAGAATCCGGTCATTCCTTTGGTCTCGGAGTACAATGCGAGCGATGTCGCTACTACTGAGTTGTTCCGTTCTTGGCAACATGCTGGAAACAACGTCAAGCGTAAGCATGATATGATTGTACTGGCAGACGAACAAGAACCGGAACACGTCCTTCGAGTCATCAAGGAGTTCGATCAAGTGACCAGCAACTCAGCATTGAATTTGGACACCGGGACATTGAGGGCTAACTTCTTTGTCAAGTGTCTTCAAGGCTCTGCTCGAGACAATTGGAACGTGATTCGAGCAGCGCGTCCTGGTGCAGCGGTTGCTGACTTCGATGCCTGCGTGACGTCGTTCATCGCTAAGTTCGTTGAAGACACGGATCTCGCTGATCAGACGCGATATTTGCAGACTGCGACCAAGCCTTTCAAACTCGATTGCAAGACCCTGTGGTCTCGATTGGAGTACATCAATACCTTGATGGCGAAGTTTCCTGGTGCAAACAATGCGAACCCTTTTGATGCTCCTGCTCTCAAGATGATGTTTTACAACATGATGCTTCCCCAGTGGAAAGACAAGTTTGCCGATTCTGCTCATGACATTACGGTTATCGGCCCAGTTCAAATGGTTCGTTTCTTTGCCCGTCAAGAAAAGAATTACAACGCTCGCCAACAAGGCTCTCGTGGCCGTGGTGGTCGCGGACATTCTCGTGGTCGTTCTGGCCGCGGATTTGGAAGAAGTGGACGCTCTTCTGGCTATCGTCGTATCTATGGACAAGACGATGGTCCTCGAGCTGGTTACTATCCGCCTTCCCAGCGTTTCCGTCGTGGAGAATGGAGTCGAGCTCCTACCTGGACGTACAATCGTAGTCCTCCAAGAGATACCAACGTGGACAACCAGACGGACAGCAACGCACAACACTACTCCGGTGCGCAATTTGCCGGACGTTTCGGTGTGGTAGCTATGCCTCATCACCTCGTGGTCGTGGACGTGGACGTGGTTACAGTCCTCGCCGCGATAATTTTGTGGCTGACGGTGATGTTCGCGAGGATGATGTGTTCCACGTCGAAGAACAATCCTCTACGGTTCCTGCGGCTGCTGCATGCCGCCTCCTGAAGAAACAGATGAGATGTATTATCAGGAAGAGCCCCATTACTTTGATTCAATGACAGGGGGTTACGATGACTATGAAGAGTCTTATGGATACGGTGGCGATTACTGACCATCTACACAGGTCTTTGAGAATTATGCAGCGGCGGCTGAGGGAATCAATGTGGACAAGGACTTGGTGCCAATGGCGCTTTGCGTCCTACATAGTATACAAAATAAACCGTCTGATAGACCGTTATTAGTCCTGATGGACTCTGGTTCTAGTGGAACCTGGATTAGTGAAAAGGCGTTGCCTAAGGGAACAGTCCCTCGTATTGGAGACGTTGTGTCCACCACGACATTGGCTGGCAACGTCAAATCGAACCGTGTTGTTACCTTAGACCGGTTGTGTTTTCCAGAGTTCTACAAGTCCCGTTTCATCGATGTTGCCATGCTCGGTCTTTTCCGCGAGAATGTTCGGTATGATATGATCATTGGACGCGACATCCTCCTTGAGATGGGATTGAAGATTGATTTCAAGGGACACAAGATGACATGGGACGAGGTTAGCATCGACATGAGACCTTTTCCTTCGTCTTCGGTTGACAAGAAGACTCCTCCTGCTACATCGATGTTCCTTGATCTTCTGAAGCAGATCTCGAAGATGACGATACTCTGCCTACCGTGGCTTCCACGGATTGCTGTGAAGACGACTTGGATGAGATTTGGACGACATGCTCCCGAATCCAAAAAAGAGTCTTCATGTTTGCAACTCGTGAAGAAGAAGAGAAGGCAGCAGACTTGGGTTACAAGACCAAGCACATCCTCGAATCTAAGTATGAAGGGGCCGATATTACCGCCGTTGTTCGGTCCTGCACTCATCTTTCTCAAGAACACAGAATGACCTTCGTGGTGTCCTTGAGAAGTATGATACCTTGTTCAGTCCTGAACTTGGTAAATATACCGGTGGACAAATTAGTTTGGAGATTGATCCTACAGTTCCGGCCCATCGAAGCCGACACTATACTGTTCCTCATCACCAACAAGACATTTTCAAGAAAGAATTGATAGGTTGGTTTCCCTTGGCGTTCTTGAAGAAGGAAGTCGTTCCGAATGGATTGCTGGTACTTTCATCATCCCGAAGAAAGACGGTCGAGTCCGGTGGATCTCTGATTTCCGTGGTCTCAACAAAGCAATCAAGCGCAAGGTTTATCCAATTCCTCGCATCGCTGATATCTTAGCTCGCCGCAAGAACTATGCATTTCTTACCAAGTTGG